AAAAAATCAGAGGTAAATGTATTGCTCAAAGATTATTGTGAGAAATAGATTATGATTCATGGGTCACAGTACAGGGGTAAGAGAATTGTTCTGTTGAGATGGGCTTCATTTGAAGCATGCCGAGCCTGGTGTCCTGGTGAATAACTAGGGTTATAAATAGAGCTTAAAACAATTAGTTTGAGGCGAGGGGCTTCAATTGAAGGAAAGTTTCAAGAAAATCCAAAAAGAAAAAAAAAGAGAAATACAAGGCAGTGAGGAGGCAAACACCAAAGTGCAACATGAAGGTGCAGAACACGAGTAGCACAATGCAGCAGAAATTATAACTAGAATGGCTATTAATGATTAAAAAAATCAATAAAAATCATTGGAATGTATACAGTATCTGTAACAAGATAGATTAATTGACACACAAAAGAAAGAAATGCACATGACTTGATTAGCTATTACAGATACATAGTTTGCAGGGTGAATGCAAATGGGAAGTTAAGGAAATTTGTCATTCAGGAAAAATAGGCAAAAAAGGAAAAGGAGGTGGGGTAGCATTGTTAAAGGGATGCATCAGTGTGCTTTGGGGGGGGGGGGGGGGGGGGCGCGGTCACGGTATAAGTGCAATTGATCATGATGTAGAATCAATTTGGGTGGAAAGAAGGAATAGCAAGGGAAAGAAATCATGAGTGGGAGTCATCTATCAACCCCGAAAGAGTTCTCACTGTAGGACAAAGCATAAATCAAGAAATAGAGGAGGCAAATCAGAAGGACACTACAATTTCGTCATGGGTGATTTTAATCTCCATATGGATTGGTCCTTCACCTTACTGTATTCAAAGTTCATAGCAAATGATCCCATCAAGATTCAAAACTGGAACAGGAAGCAGTGAGATGGTGGCGGCAAACCAGGGACTATGGTTTTCCAATCTGAACTTAAACAGTGGTGGCAAGCAAGTTTCATGGTATCATTCGTCATGAGCCAGAGTGGAGTTCTCACAAACACATGCTTTCTCATTTTTTTTAATGCAATAAAGAAATTGAGCACATTTCTTGGTCAACTTCATAATGAGACAGACAGAAGTTATGTCCCACTGCCAGGACCTGAGATAACAAGGTGTAGAGCTGGATGAACACAGCAGGCCAAGCAGCAGAGGAGCAGGAACTTGGCCTGCTGTGTTCATCCAGCTCTACACCTGGTTATCTCAGATTCTCCAGCATCTGCAGTTCCTACTATCACTGCTAGGACCTACTGGCTTCCAAGGCTCTGGTGTCACATTTCAAGTCTAGCTGGACACCTCTTCAGACACTACAAGCCAGGAACTACCCCTCACACTGTGCTGCT